AAGATTAGGGAAGAAAGCTTGTCTCCTCTCCAAACCCCTCTGGTCGGCTTCACCGGCGACCGTGTGACCTCTATCGGCTCCATCGATCTACCTATTACCATTGGCGAGCACCCGCAGCAGACCACTAAGTTGCTCACCTTTCTTGTGGTCGACTGCCTCTCTGCTTACAACATCATCCTTGGCCGCACAACCCTCAACGCCTTCCAAGCCATCACATCTACGTATCATCTTGCCATCAAATTTCCTACCGATCTCGGTGTCGGAACTGTCAAAGGAGAACAGACCGTGGCCAGGGAATGTTATGTCGCCTCACTCAAAGAAGTCAAGCTAAAAGAGGCCATGATCATCGAAGGGCTTGACGTCCGAGACGAGGACGAGCTGGTCAGAGGTGAACCTGTAGAGGAACTTGTTGAAGTTAACATTGATCCCACCAACCCAATCAAAACCGCCAAGATTGGCAGCCAATTACCTTCCCAAGCCAAGGCCGACCTTACTGCTCTCCTGACCGAGCACAGAGATGTATTCGCCTGGACCCATTCTGACATGCCAGGCATCGACCCCTCCTTCATAACCCCACCGCCAGAAGCAACGCATTTTCCATCCGGAGCGCAACACTCTTATAGCCGCCGAAGTTGACAAACTCCTCGAGGCCCATTTCATCAAAAATGTGGACTATCCTCGGTGGTTATCCAACGTGGTCCTCGTCCGCAAACACAATGGCAAATGGCGGCTCTGTGTCGACTACTCTGACCTGAACCGAGCTTGTCCCAAAGACAGCTACCCCCTTCCCCGCATAGATCTGCTGGTCGACGCCACGGCCGGTCATCAAATGCTCAGCTTCATGGATGCCTTCTCTGGGTACAACCAAATCCTGATGCACACATCATTTATTACTGACCGAGGTACCTACCACCACTGTGTAATGCCGTTCGGATTGAAGAATGCTGGGGCCACTTATCAGCGGCTGGTTAACACCATTTTCCATCACCAAATAGGTCGGAATATGGAAGTCTACGTCGACGACATGCTAGTCAAAAGCAAATACTCCTCCGATCACCTCACTGATTTACGAGAAACCTTCACCACCTTGCGCAAGTACCAGATGAAGCTCAACCCAGAGAAGTGCGCCTTCGGCGTAGGGTCTGGCAAATTTTTGGGCTTTATGGTCAGTCAGCGCGGCATCGAAGCTAACCCTGAGAAGATCAAGGCCTTGGTTGAGATGCAGTCGCCTAGGACGGTCAAAGAGGTTCAGAGACTCACCGGCCGAGTGGCAGCCCTCAACCGCTTCATCTCCCGTGCGACAGATAAGTGCTTGCCCTTCTTCAAAGTTCTTCGGCAGACTTTTGAATGGACAGCTGAATCCGAAGAGGCCTTCCAACAGTTAAAGCAATGCATGGCCAACCCCCCCTTCTATCCCAAGCAATCACAGGCGAACCCCTCTTCCTCTACTTAGCAGTATCGGGAACCGCAGTCAGTGCCGCTCTCCTCAGAGAAGATGGCTCAATCCAACGGCCGGTCTATTACATCAGTCGGGCCCTCAGGGGCGCGGAGCAGAACTACCCCTTGCTGGAAAAACTGTCCCTGGCCTTGGTCATTGCCTCCAGACGACTCCGCCCATACTTCCAAGCCCACTCCATAGTGGTCCTCACCGACCAGACCCTGAAGAAGGTCATGCAGCAACCAGAACTCTTAGGTAGACTGATGCAGTGGTCCGTAGAACTTAGCCAGTTTGACATCTCTTACCACCCTCGGACAGCAATCAAGGAGCAGGCTGTAGCTGACTTCATCATGGAATTCACCAAGCCGACCCCGACCACTACACCTCCACCCCCACCAACTCCAACAGAGCCAGAAAATCCTCATTCTTGGACTCTCAATGTCGACGGTTCGTCCCGAAAAGAAGGAAGTGGTGCCGGCCTCATCCTCACCTCCCCTGAGGGCGGCTACTTCAAATATGCCCTCTGTTTCTTGTTTGAAGCAAGCAATAATGAAGCCGAGTACGAGGCATTAATAGCAGGACTCTACCTTGCCAAGGACATAGGGGTCAGCCACCTCCGAGTATTCAGCGACTCCCAACTCGTCGTCGGTCAGATGACGGGGGATTTTGATGCCAAGGAAGACACGATGCGAGCTTACAGGGACATGGCACTCCCCCTTGCTCGCTTCTTCAATACCTTCTACATCAGGCACATTCCTCGGGCGGAAAACTCCAAAGCAGATGAGATGGCTCAGTTGGCCTCTGCTGACCATCCTACTCTCAGCCATGATGTTCGCGTTGAATATCTATACCACCCAGCCATTTCACCCGATCGGCAAGCTATACAATACATCCAAAATGAACCCATCCCTTGGGCATCCGACATTCTCCTATTCTTGACCACAGGAGCACTCCCAGATGACCAGCAGCAGGCTGCCAAAGTACGATCCTGAGCGTCCAATTACGTCATTGTCGACGGTATATTGTACAAGCGCGGTTTCTCCCGGTCATATCTACGGTGCCTCAATCCAGCTCAAGCAACTTATGTAATGCAGGAGATCCATGAGGGAATTTGTGGTAATCACTCAGGTGGCAGGTCCCTTGCCCAGAAGATACTCTGTACTGGGTATTTTTGGCCAACTCTTAATCAGGATGCGATCGACTTCGTGCTCAAATGCGATAAATGTCAACGCTTTGCCAACATCTCCCATGCTCCTCCTACAGAGTTAATCACACTCTGCAGCCCTTATCCGTTTGCCAAGTGGGGGGTCGACCTGGTTGGTCCACTTCCCACCGGTCGAGGCCAGACCAAGTTCGCAATTGTCGCCATTGATTACTTCACCAAGTAGGTCGAGGCTGAACCCCTTGCCACAATCACCGAGCGGAACACAACCAGGTTTATCTGGCAATCAATCATTTGCCGATTTGGCATCCCTCAAGCCATCATCTCTAACAATGGCAAACAATTCGATAATGCGAAGTACAGAAAATTTTGTGTAGATCTCCAGATTCGACCATGCTTCTCTTCCCCCGGTCACCCCCAAGCAAACGGCCAAGTTGAGGTCACCAACCGTTCCCTTCTGAAAATCATCAAAACTAAGCTCGAAGCTGCTAAAGGCCTTTGGGCTGAGGAACTACCAATCGTACTCTGGGCTTACCGAACCACTGCTCGCACTTCCACTGGTGAAACCCCTTTTCGATTAACATATGGCGCTGAGGCGGTTATTCTGGTAGAAGTCGGTTTGCCCACTCCCAGGGTTTTACATCCGGATCTGGCCGCAGCCGAAGAACTCCATCGAACAGACTTGGACCTCGTTGAAGAGCTTAGAGAGACCACTGCTGTTAGATTGGCTTCGTACCAGCAGAAAATGAGAACACACTACAACCGCCGAGTTCGACCACGAGAGTTCTCCGTAGGGGACCTTGTCTTACGAGAAGTGACTCTTGCCATAAAGAATCCAACCGAGGGCAAACTGGCAGCCAAATGGGAGGGGCCCTACGTTGTGAAAGCCCGACCACGACCAGGCACTTACCGACTTCAAGACATGGAAGGCCGAGACCTGCCCCATCCCTGGAATGCGGAACATTTGAAGCATTACTATCAATAAGTTCATACTTTTGTATTGTCAATATTGTTGTATTTCCCTTTTATCCATAATGCAAATTTTGACTGGTGACCTCGGCTTTCATAATTCAACTATCTCCATGTCGCTCCCATAACTTTTTCACTTGCAGCATTTCAAAAGCCTCAGCCAGCCTGAGCACTTCAAAAACCTCAGCCAGCCTGAGCACTTCAAAGCCTCGGCCAAACCGAGCACTTCAAAAGCCTCGGCCAAACTGAGCACTTCAAAGCCTCGGCCAGACTGAGCACTTCAAAAACCTCAGCCAGACTGAGCACTTCAAAAGCCTCAGCGAGCCTGAGCACTTCAAAGCCTCGGCCAGACCGAGCACTTCAAAAGCCTCAGCCAGGCTAAGCACTTCAAAGCCTCAGCCAGACTTAGCACTTCAAAGCCTCGGCCAGACCAAGCACTTCAAAAACCTCAGCCAGGCTGAGCATTTCAAAAGCCTCAGCCAGCCCGAGCACTTCAAAGCCTCGGCTAGACCGAGCACTTCAAAAGCCTCAGCCAGGCTGAGCACTTCAAAGCCTCAGCCAGACTTAGCACTTCAAAAGCCTCAGCCAGCCTGAGCACTTCAAAGCATCGGCCAGACCGAGCACTTCAAAAGCCTCAGCCAGCCTGAGCACTTCAAAGCCTCAGCTAGATCGAGCACTTCAAAAGCCTCAGCCAGATTGAGCACTTCAAAGCCAAGCAGAATCACATTTTTAACACTTAGTCACATTTTGAAACTTCTTCATAATTCCAGGACCACGTTTTTACCTAGTTAAATTCCAAACATGCTCTCACGTATTTCATCTACTAATCAGATTATTTGCCACCTCACCCAGTTTACAATTAACTGTTCTACAATTTCCTACTCCACTTTCTCAATCCAACACTATCATCCTTTCAATTTTCATACAACTCCAATCACACTCCGCAGGGAGGAACTTTTAACTTTAACTTTACACGATATTTTTATTGACCCAATCTTTATGACCAGTTTTTATAACAACACTTCATTCATTTTGGCAACATAAACAAAATAAACAAAATAAACAAAATTCAACTGGCAACATAAACAAAATAACCTTTGTACACAAATTCATTACAATTAAATTCTTCATACATTCATTCATTCACTCATTCCTTTACAATGCTGCTAAAGGCCTTTGGGCTGAGGAACTACCAAACGTACTCTGGGCTTACTGAACCACTGCTCGCACTCCCACTGGTGCCAGATCTTCTTCTTCAATGCCTTCGTCCAGGGGGGTCTGGGCCACATCATCTTCACCTATCGTTACACTACTAATGTCCAAGTGTGGGAACAGCTCTTCAGCTCTGCGCTTGAACATCTTCCAACGGCTGTCCCAGAACTCGGCCATTTCGTGCTTGTAGAAGTCTGACTGCTGGAAGCTTTCAATCACCTCTGCCTCTGTCCTACCCCCAGCAGTCTTCCTTGTTGGCCCACCCCCCCAGACTCTTGCCCAGCCAGACTCCTGGCGACAGCGGCGTCTACCACCATCTGAAATTCGGGGGATCCTTTATATTGCTCCACTGCTGCGACGCACAGATCAGGGTAGGCCGCCCTCTCAGACGCCACCTTCGCCCTCTCCTCGTCCAGCTCTCTTTGCAGGGCCCCCCTTTCAGCAGCCGCCGTCGCCCTCTCCTCTTCCACCCCCTTCTTCAGAATCTCCAGCTCCGCCACCGTCTGCGCCTTCTCTGTTTCCCACTCCCTCAGAAGCCTCCCCTTCTCCTCCTCTGCTCTGGCGCGCTCCTCCTCCAACTCCTTCAACAGATCTCCAATTTTGGAATCTGCTTCATCCTTTTGCCTGACCAGCTCTTCATTGCTGCTCATGGCCTCTTCATACCGCTCGATCGCCACGGCGCAGGCCCTTTCAGACTCTTCTAACTTTTTCTGTTCACCAGCCAGTTGGAACTCGAGCGACACGACCTTACGGCGTGTGTCCTCCGGCTCCAACTTGACTGCTGGCAGATCAGCATGGGCAGTCTTCCAGTCGGCACTGTCCTTCTTCAATTTGGCCAACTAGGCCTTGGCCTCTTCAGCCTTTAACTTGGCAGCCCCTGCCTTCCTAAGGAGGGCCCCTGCCAAGGTAGTTACCTCCATTTGGGCGGAGCATAACCCCCTCAGCAGGTCAGCCTCATTATATCCTGATGCCGCGCGTAGAGCTGTCTCCTCCACAATCTTCACCAGGCGGTCTGCCCCCGCCCTGGCTGGGCCTTCTTCTCCCTCCAACCTTGCAGCTACCGTGCGCGCATGATAGATCGCCGTAGCCAGACGAACCCCTCCTTCTTGGGGGGCAGGCCCCTTCTGGACCTGTTCCCTTCCGCTCGGCACCGCCTCAGTCAACCTAGCCTCCACTTGCACTGTTGGAGCAATCTCCACAACCTCCACCGTTGGGATGATCTCCACCACCTCTGGGGCGCCCTTGGCCACAGGGACCTCCACCTCAGTTGGGGCCACCTTAGCCCTCTTGGCCCCAGACTCATCTGCGGCTCCCTCTGGGGCACTCCTCTTCTTCTTCTTCTTTTTCAGAGCCTCCCCCTCCTTTCTGGCCTGTTCTTTTACAGGGTCTACAGGAGGCGGCCGCGGCTCAAAACTGCTTAAGTCTTTTTCCCCCAACGGCCTTGGGCTCAGTCGGATCCTCTCCCGCGCGATTGGTTGAGGCGGTCGGTCCCTTTGCGTTTCCTTCAACTTCGTGGCCTTGGCCAGAACGGCCCGATCCTCTACCTCCTGAGCTTTTCTCCTCACCTCCAATTCTGCCCGGCCGAGGTCTCCGCCCTTCGGCTGCGGTCCCAGCCCCGCCTCAAACAATGCAGACGGTTGAACAAGCTAGTCCCATTTGGCCTTCTCTCTCTCTTTCCACTCCTTCACTCTCTTTACCCTCTCTTCCGCCATCGGCCCCCAATCTCGACTCCATCGACCTAGTTGGCACCTTCCAGATGGTGCGCTCCCCCACCCCCCCATTAGCAGACACGTAGAACCACCGTGGCCACCACCCCTTGATCGACGTCGGCAGCCCCGCCACCAATCCCCTCCCCATCACCGCCTGTAGGGTGACCCAAGTTTCTTGCTGCCCCGCCGCCTTATAACACGAAAAGAACTCGTCTACCGTCATGGCCTCCCCCCCACTCGCCTTAGGCCACGCACTCGCATAGGCCAGCAGAATCTTCCATGCATTGGGCATCAATTGCCCCGGCGCTACCTCCAGGCGATTCAGCACGTCAACCACCATTTGGGGCAGTGGCAACCTCAGCCCACCTTTTAGCGCCTCCTCGTACAGGGAAAACTCCCCTGGCCTAGCAGCAGACGGCCTTTCCCTTGATGTTGGCAGCAATAACTCTACCTCCGCCGGGATCTGGTATCGTTCCCTGATAACCTCCAAATCCACCGCTGTAAGTGTGGATTTGTCCGCCTTAGTGTGCCACTGATCTGGCTCTACCTGGCTTAGTGGCTTTGGAGCCAATATCAGGGCCGACGCCTGCGATTCTTCCACCGATTCTCCCACCCCCGCCCCCACCATCCGTGTCTCCGTCCTGTATCGCGCGGCTAGCTCCTCCGCATCATCATCCCCCAGTGGGTCCACCCTCACATTGACTACTTCTTCTTGTGCCATTTCTAGGGTTTGCTTACAAATCACTTCTGATGCAGGAGCAAGGAAGTTGAGAGAATGCTACACAGGTGTGTCGTACGCAGTGAAGGAATTAACACTTGGATATTTTGAGTTTTTGTAAAAAGGTAGGTGAAGCGCATTATACCAAACACCCACGGTTTACCCATATTCCATGGATCCACATTAATTTTGCCCGTTTCAAAACCTTTCAAATCAACCGCCAAAATCGCCTTTTCAAAACCCCCCTCGTGACCTATCGTTTCATTTCCGCTCCAACGCTTCACTTCCCCCACGATATTACCACGTGTATGGCCACGATGCACTGTCCCCTCCCCTTCCCCTGTCCTTTCCATTTCAAATCATCACATGGCCCCACCCTACCTTTTGTTCTTACACTTTCATATCTACTCTTTGTGAGAGAATTATTGTAAAAGTTGGTTCAATTACCACTTATTCTTATTCCTTATTTTTGTGAGAGATTTTGTAAGGGTAGGGCATTTATTGTTGAGTGAGGCTCAATAGATAAGAGTAAGTCCTGTGCCAAATCCACAAGCTTGGTGGTGTATTTATTCAATTGATAGTAAAGAAATTCTCAAGGAGGTTCCTTGGGGAGTGGACGTAGGCCTGGCGTGCCGAACCACTATAAATAGCAGTGTTTGATTTTCTCTCTCTATCTCCTCTACTTTTATATTGATAATTATTATTCTGTTTGTTTTTATTTATTCAAATTCTGAATATTGTGTTATATTTAATATTGTGAAATTTTTAATAACCCAATTCACCCCCCCTCTTGGGTTGCCTAACTGGGATAACACCTTCCTTATTACTATTCCCTTCGTTGGACTAAAGCTGCACTCGGAAATGGGGGACTACTGACATGGATAGGCCCACAAGGCATAAGGCCCACAGCAAACCACCCCAAACCCATCGCTTAGGACCAATAGCATAACCCGGTTGGCAAAGCCCAGGACAGCTGGAGGCCATCTAGACATGGGAGGCCAATGGCATTCGGGCACATGGCAGGACACGGGCCACATCAGCAGACAAAGATCTGCAGAGTTATTATCACAACACATCACCATTAATGCGTCCCATCACAGCATTTATTACGACAACACCTCCCCGTCGGAACAGAGCCCCCTCACCCTGAACAAGGTAAGCTACGGCACAGGCTTTCGGCGGAAGGGGGCACGTCACAAGGGACAGTGAAATGATTACCAAAGGATATAAGCAAGAATAGAAAGACAAGAGAAAGGTTAAGCTTTTTATCTCTCCATCTCTCTCTCTACATTTTCTTCTTCCTCTACCAATTCTCACGCCGGAGGGTTCACTGGGGGACTGCCCCGTTCCCCTTTGGACTTGCTTGCAGGTCATTTGACAGAATCATCACCCTAAACCGGAACTTGAAGAGCCTGGACAAGCCCGACCCATCCACCCAGGACGGAGAGCATTATCAGGTAATATTTCTATAACTTTCTGAACTTTGTTCTCTTGCTAGCCAATTCATAAAGAACAAACTTTGATGCGATCTACAAATCCAAAAAGGACTTTGAATAATAAAAGCCACAGCATAAGGTGGCCTTAAAAACTCATACTTTACATCTTGAACAATGTCAAAGATTTCAAATTCATGAAAATTTGATTGTTCATAATTTTCAACCATAGTGGCTTAAGATCACACTTTTTAACCAAATTGTTTGCATTACTCTCTGGACTGAGAGTTGCAACAAATGGCTGATTTGTTGTTTCACACATTAATGGGTTAGAAATATTTTTGGAAAATCTACAAAATATTTCTTCTTTGTGAAATTGCCCCCCTCCGATGCAAAAAGAATGTAAACCTTATTGTTAGTAAAAAATATGATAACCCTTGATCGACAGGAAATTAATGATAATTCTGGTGTGATTCACAAACCCAGAATGGGTGTTGAATGTCATAATCCATAGTTTTGCATGGCTCGAAAATTCTGAAAAATTTTGAATTCTGAAAAATTCTGTAACTACCCCTCTTATTTTCAAAGGTTCAAATTTCATTAAGCCTTCACTTTCACTTGTCGAACTAACCTTCTTTCATAATGTCACGTGTCCCTCAGCACTCTAGACTTCCCATCGATAGAGAGAAACCTCCATTCCGTACATAACTCTTCTTGCAAGTTGCCCAGTAAGCCATGACTTAGCTTGATAACTACTCCCTCATCTGGACCTAGATTGATAACTGCTGCTAAGGAAGAGTGACAACTTTCTTTTCAATGCAATCATGAGACTCACTCGAATTCTTGAAGAGTTATAAAATTAAAATTAAATTGACAACTATCTTTTCAACAAACAAACATATATAAAATATATGCCTAGGGCCAAAAAATTTTGGTGATTAAACACCATATATGCCCAACTACTACTATCGATAAATTGATATCACTGGTATTAATGATTATATGCCATTTAATTGGCCAAATTACAATAACACTCAATCCAAGTGAGGTACATTATTTCAACAGAGCAAATTGGCAACTCTTCAAGTATGTGATCTTCAAGTGGTTAATGAGAACCACCTTCCACCAACAGAACTTTTCTCTTTGGTCTTATATTATTCAAACAATGTAGGATTGAAAAATTCTGAATTTTGAAAAATTCTATAACTGCCCCTCTTATTTCCAAAGGTTCAAACTTCATTAAACATTCACCTTCACTATCGAACTGCTCTTCTTTTATGATGTCACGTGTCCCTCAACACTCTAGACTTTCCATCAACAAAGAGAAAACTCCATTTTGCACATGACTATTCTTGCAAGTTAACCACTAAGCCCATGACTTAGCCTGATAACTGCTCCATCATCTGAACCATCCAATGCATGTGATCAACGTCTCTAATGCCACTTGTCCCTTTAATTGATGTAGAACTCTCACTCCAACTTTGTCACATGTCATTGTACAATTGATCCACTTATCGATAAGAAATTTACAAAGATGGCTGCAAACACTTATAGTGAATCTAACGCTAATATTACGAAATATACCCCCATATGTTGAAGTGATTACAATTTCATTCATTTGATGAAATATACCTTCTACTTGAAAAAAACAAATACCATATATAAAGATTTTTTGTCATCTTTAAGTGCATTCCGATTTTGAAAAGAGATTTGTAAAGAGAAACAAAAATAGGTGAAGTGTGTATAAAATATAACTGTATTTCACTTATATTTTACAATTTTTTTTTCTTTTTTAAATCACTTTTCAAATTTATAAACCAAAAATAATTTAAAAAATATTTATATTCAAATTGTAAAGCGACCCCACGCACGAAGTGCTGGGGGCCAACTAGTAATGAAAAAAAGTACACTTGATTAAAAGTCCAAAGAAATACCCTTTCAAAAATCATTGATCAGTTAGTTTTCCTTTTAAATATAACAGTGGTTAGGGTTCTCTAGTTTAAATTTATCTCTCAAAAGTAAATGAATCATATGAGAATGATCAAGAGTTAAAATTTTCAATACAATCCAATAATAATTATGAGTGCTTTGAAAAAAATAGAAAATATAATTTGGAGTTAAAAAACCCATGTCCATAGAATTACAAGATTTTATCACTTATTTATCCATATATTTTTTTTTTTATCACTTATATTTGTTTGAGAACTTTTGCAACATCAGGTGTATCTAATTTTTCACACGAGGCTGGAATGAGTCATGTGAGTGTGTGAAAATTATTATGTAAAGAATTAAGTACATTACGTATGTCATTTTCCCATATATCATTACTTCTTATTTTTTACCTCATTTGTATCAAATTAATTATCATGATCAGGTGAATCGTTCAAGGTTTTTGAAATATATTTGATGAGTTCCGAAATTTAACTCTAAATATAATTCATTTGCAAGTGATAATTATTCAAGCTTTTAAAGTAAAATAATAAAGATGTTTTTCTTCTTTTTTTTTGGTAATCTAAAATAAAACTAAGAAATCAAGTACAAGGTTTTGGGAAGAGAATTCCCCAACATCTAATTTGCAGTAATAAAGGTGAATAATAAAAATGGTGCAAATCATTACTAGTATTACTGTCTCGATTAGCTAGAATACCAACACATTTGTTGGTTTCTCGATAGACATGATGAAGAGTTGTTACTCTCAACCGGTTCATCAGGAACTTACAATCATAAATGATTCCTCCACCGCTTAATATACTCGGGTTCCCTTTGGTGGCACCATCAGTATTAAGCTTGAAACCTCCTTCCAAAGGTGGTCTTCACTCCACATTTAGAACAGTCACAGATTTGGTTCCCTAACTGAAATTATTTATGTGTTGCCAATCAATAGCCAGAAAAGGCATTGAAGGGTTGTGGCTGTGAATCAAAGAAAGTGGCATTCCTAGCTTTCCAAATGGACCAACATGCAAGAATGGAGAGATTTGGATTGGCAATGGCTTTGTAACTAATCCAGAAAGTCCTGATTGAAAGAAGCAGTGTGTTCATTGGGTATGCGAATGGCATTCCAATTGGATCTAGCTCTGGTACAGTCTCTGAGGACATGACAAGTAGTTTCAACCTCAAGGTTAGGAAAAAAAAAAAAAAAAACAGAAGTGATAATAATATACTATTAAATTACACATTATCTGTTTGTGTGTGCGTATCTATATATTGTTTGATAATAATAATAATAATAATAATAAGTGTGGTCATTATCTATTTGGCTTGATTAATATATATATAGGCTTTTATTTATTCTTACTTTTGTCATTGTTTGTTTTATATATAATAGTTAGTGATTGATTTTTTGTATAATATAAAGTCATTAATTATTAAAATAAAATGTAAAAAACTTAGTTTATAGTGATTTAAAAATATGAAATATATTAGATCAAACTTAAAAATTTATAAAAATTGATCAATATTTATTTTAAAATCCAATAAATATGATCATGGAAAAAAAATGTGCGTATCGGTAAGTTTTTTTTAAATTGTGCGAAAAATAAAAAAATTCACGGTTCCAGTTATCGCAACCATCACTGTACGACTTTTACACCCCGCAACCACTTTTCACAACCTTAAAAAATAATAATATAAATATCAAAAGTTTAGAGGGACACGTGACATTGGTCCTAAGGTTGCTCCATCCTATAGTTAGTAGGAATGGTCTCGATCCAATTCCAATTAAGATAAGGTGAGAAAGGAACAAAATTTTTTGAAAGAAGGTAGGCCGAGTTGGATTTGAATACACCATCTGAAGAGTGTTTCCCGATTCGAAGGTCACTACCCAATTGAAACAGGATCTTGGTAGAGCCATTTTTCATAAGGATCTTGGTTTCTTTGTAGAGCCATTTTTCATAAGGTAGGCCCACAAATGAGTGAAGCTCCATGACCATTACTATTGCTCACAAGGTATTTAGAGGTCAGCACTCAGGACTATAACCTATCATCTTCCTAGGTTGTTCCTAATAGGGAGGCATTTTTTAATCTTATAAAATAATCTCCAACCACACTCTCTACTTTTCACTAGTTAAAGTACAAAAAGAGTACACTCTTTATTTTACCCAATTACTTTAGTTATTGTGTTTTCCAATTACGCTATTTATTTTAGCTAATCATTTAAACTATGACAAATTACACTAACAGTCCCTATAGTTTGGAACTCGTGTCACTTTGGTCCTGACTTTTCAATTATGACACATTTGATCTTGAATTTTGAATCTTATTCTAAATATGGACAATGTGCAAAATCATCAATTTAATAAAATATAAACTAATTTGACAAAAATAAATGTCAAAAAAATATTTTTAATTTTTTAAAAATTATTTTTATCCACCAATGATAAAATTATCTAAAATTGATAAAAATTAATAAAAATTACATGATTAATTTTTAAAAATTAATTTTACATGATCCTCATCCAAACACATAATAAAAAATAATTTGGTAAAAAAAAAATGTCTAAAAGATTTATCAATTTTACATAATTTTATTTTTAGTGAGTAGAAAAAAATTTTAAAAATTTAAAAATATTTGTTTGACATGTATTTTTATCAAATTAGTTTATATTTTATCAAATTGACGATTTTGCCCTTGAAAAATCTAATGATATCTTCAATTGTCCTTATTTGGAACAAGATTCAAAATTCAGGGTCAAATGTGTCACAATTGAAAAGTCAGTGACCAAAGTGACACAAACCTCAAACTATAGAAATTATTAGTGTAATTCACCCTTTAAACTAACTTAATTAATTTTTAAAATAAAAAAATAATAATTGTTGATATTTTACTAATATAAATATGCAATAATAATAAATTTGTCCATACAAACATACAAAACATGTAGAATGAGGAGGAAAAAAAATATAAAATACAAAACAAGTTATTCCGTAATTCATCAAACAGAATTGAAAGAATATATAAAATTGCTACACACACACACATATCTATATATAAAAAATCCCAAATCCAAGACATAAATATATAAAAATCTAAAATATATACATACATAATTATTTGGAGAGCCTCTGGGGCTTTTCAATTGTAGCCACCAAAAAAATAGGATGGTAAAGTAGCTAGCCCAATAGCTAGCTCGTTGGAGCTCAAAATTAGATTTATATTGGCTAAAATGCCTAACAAGTCTTGTTTAACTAATCCTCTTGGAGATGCTCTAAGCTTATGACCATTAGAAGTCACCACACATTGAATATGTTTGTTTGGGCAAGCTTGAACTTGGAATTGAATTAATAATTTTATGAAAATGTATAAGTTGATATTTGTCAAAGAAAATCGACAAATTGAGGTCTGAATTAATAGTTCATCTGTACATAGTATTATCCATATGAGAGATTAATGAATCTCAAGAGGAGGGTGGAATACAAATTAGGGCCTAAAGAAAAGTTCAGACTAAGGCCTCGTTTGGAAATAGGCTAATTTAGTAATTTTTTAGCTATTTGGCTAAAATATGAGCTAAAAAAAATTAGTATGTTTGGGATGACTTTTTGACTTTTTACAAAAAGATGTGCAAAAAGTAGAGAGAAAAAGAGAATCTTTGACTTTTTGGTATGAGTTGTTGGTTTTTTGGCTAATTTAGTAACTTTTTAGCTTTTTAGCTAAAAAGTTCGATTGCCAAACGAGGCCTAATTAGTTAAATTGTAAAATTTATAGAATTTTGTCAATTCTTTCTCATAATCTTAAGCCAATCTAAAAGGATGGATAATTCTAAGATTAACCGTCCTATGTATGCTAATTTCAACCAACCCAATCAGTTGTAACAAACAAGGCCCTAGAGCACAAAGATACAACCCCAATATGAAATTCAATTTCATTGTCATTCGTATTCATTACAAAAAAAAACATATGTTAAAATCTTAGATAAATTAATTTTTTTAATAATTATTGAAAATATTTTTTGTATGAATAACCAATTCAACGTATGTTACAAGATAAAGGATTCGAATAATAAACCTAGACTCAAGATGGATCCCGTTAAATGCCAAAACAGGATGTGCTATGACTAAGGTTACAGTAGAGATTATATTGTTCTTAAAAAATATAAATAATCATAGTAATAATATCCATGATAACATATATTGTTTGAAAATTTTTTAAAAACTTGTTTTTGTTTTTCAAAAATACTTTTCAGAAAATTCCACTTTCTTGTTTTTCGTTTTTTTTTTTAACTAATTTTTTTAATATTTTACGTAATTTTTTTAATTTTTAGACACACCTAACATAAATACACATAAAAAGTATAATTTTTTTGAAAAAAAATCTTTTAAAAATTCACTAAATACCAAAAATATTTCAAAAAAAAATACTAGAATTCAATATATATATTTTTATGTATTTATTAATTTTTAAAATATTTTTTCACAATTTTTTTACTTTTTAGATACATCTAAGTAAGGTGCATCTAAAAAGTAAAAAAAATAATTAAAATTTTAAAAATATTCACTAAAAACAAAAAAAATACAAAAAATAAAAAATTTAATCTAAAAAAATCAAACCAAATACACACATTGTTATCGGATTTAGTAATAGACATGTTAATGATAGCTTTAAATAAAATAAAAAAAATCAAAATAATTAAAAATTTGATATACTTTGTTACATATTTTTATATATACTTTTTATACAACAATCGAGATTAAAACCACAGTGAACTATCATTAAAAAATTTCCCTTAAAAATAAATCACTATATTTATAGTCACTCAATTGCAGTTCAAATTTGGACATCTGTCCAACAATTCAGGATTATCAGTGAAAGAGAATCAGGATATCTCTCTGTTTGGCAACACCATAACCATAACCCCCCACACATCTCTATGTTTGGTAACACCATTAACTCCCCATGTGATTCCATTCCACAAATCAAATTTCCATTTCCAAGTGCTTCACTGAATCACAATGTTCAAGTATTCACAAATCCGCAATATTACATCTCTACCGTTGATTTGCCATTCATGATTTGATATCTTCGGCTCTTCAACATATATATCCCTGCAATAGACGACCTGGATGGGAAGATGTTTAGATTTTGAGGTTTATCATGAGTTTGGTTTTGAAAATTTGAATTGTTCTTTTTATATAGGGTATATCTATACCAAAAATTAAATCGATCTAATAATTATAACATATTCAATTTATCACATTTGTCATAAAAAAAATATTTTTTTAAAATTGAATAAGTTATTACAATTATTAAATCAACTAATTTTTTTATATAAATGATATATTTAAAAAATTTGATAAAACAAACAATTGAAATTATCAAAATAAGATGAATAATGGGTCTTACATATCCGAACAACACCCACACACACCAGATCATGGACCAAATTAAGTAACTAAAAACATGCGAATGAATGAAATGAGCTGTCTACGGTTTCAATAGTGTATATGGTAAGCATGACATTAATGCCAATCCTCACTTGTCCAATGCCATTACAATTAGCTTCCTATCTTCTCTCTCATTCCAATCAAACGGTCCACCTTCATGATGCCATTCCCAATCGTCACATTTCTTGCTGATGATCCAGACAAATATTATGATCAACGGCTGAGACAAGACCATGTGAGTAGTGCAGACACATAACAGATACATACATATACATCTATACATATAGAGAGAGAAAGAGGAGAGAGAGGCGGTTAGTATTCTGGTGAGTATATAATCACAATCACTAGCCATTACAAGTAGTATCAGTGTAGCTCCAGTGATTGTTGTCTCTGTTACAAACATTTGCTACAATGGCCAAGGTATGAGTGTCAGTGTTTTCTGCTTGGTTCCCAAGAAAAAAACAATAAAGTATGAAAATAAACCAAAGCAAATTTTCCTGTTACTGGTATTGAGAAAAGTTTGACTCACCTATTCTATACCAGACATTCGTTTTTGGGGGGGTTGTTGAGCGAAAATTCATTCAATAATGGAAATCATTTTCTCTTCACTTTCCTTGGGTTTCTCGGAAACCATACGGAGCTCGTGTTTCACTCACTCTGTTTCTGAGAAACTTGGAATGATTTGATTTTGAGCGCTGTTTTCATTTTGTGCAGAAAAAGAACGAGAACAATCAGGGGCCAACACAAGAACAAGCAGAGAATCAACCAGAACAAAACAATAATGAAGAAATCAACGCCAAGAACACTAACGAAGAGAACAAAGAAAACAATCCGAATCCAAAGGGAGTGATTGTGTTGGGAGTCTACATGCATTGCCAGGGATGTGCTGATAAGATCGTCAAGTACTTGAGAGGCTTCGACGGTACTTTTTCCCATCAATTTTCAATTTCTCTCTCTCTCTCTCTCTCTCTCTCTCTCTCGATCAATTTGTTAAGAGATTTGTGTTGTGTTGGTTGTTGACGATGTTCAGGTGTTGAACAAATCGAGACTAATATGAAGAATCACACAGTGACAGTGAAGGGGAAAAAGGCGGATCCGAAGAAGATTCTGGAGAGGCTTCGAAAGAAATCCAACAAACATGTCAAACTCATCTCCCCCATTCTCAAAGAGAAGAAAGAAGAAAACAAGGAAGCGAAGAAACAAGAGGTTTAATTCGAATTTCATTACTTAAATTTGTATATATATATATATATATATCTGTTCTTGGTTCTGAAATAAAATTTTTGAGAGTTTGATTGATAATGCAGGTGCAGCCAAAGGTAGTTGAAGTCGTGTTGAAGATTTACATGCACTGTGAAGGTTGTTCAGAGGATATCAAGTACCGCATTCACAAGATGCAGGGTATATTTTCGGCTTAACATTGATTTTATTTGTTCTATGTGTTGTTGATGTCACTTCAATTTCAATTCTATTTCAACTTCAATTACCCAAATCTGTGTGATCTCATCCTATTCAGTAGCTGTTTTTATTCTATGTTAATGTATGGTTAGAATTTGATTGCTAATTTACTTCTCCCTTAGAAAGAATATATATATATATATATATATGATTAGACGTCTATTTTCAATCATTGATCATATAGTCACATTTGATCCTAAGTAACACTGTTCTATAATATAACTGAATATTCATTTTAGTTGTAATCAGAGTCAGTCACCATAATGGAATTTATAATCCACATTCTATTGGGATATAAGTTAGGAGTTTTCTTAAGTGTGCAAGTGCACACCATGTGCCACTTACACAAAAAGTGTAAGTGTAAGGTATAAGTATAAGTATAAGGTGTAAGGTGTAAGTGTAAGGTGTAAGGTGTAAGTGGGTTGCATATGGTGTGCAACCTCAAAAAAGGTGTCAGTGTAAGGTTTAATTTTTTACAAAAGGTGTAAGTGTAAGGTGTAAGTGTAAGGTATAAGATGTAAGGTATAAGTTGCACACCATAACCAAACCCTATAAGTTAACCAAATACTACAATGAGTTGCAATCAGTTTTGATTTCAAAATTTGTTGATTCATTCCACCATTATATTGGTCCCTAACCAAATATTACCTAGTATATAACTAGTATTGATTTGGACCATCATTTCCATTCCATTTCAACTTCTTTTATTTCTTTTTATTATTATTATCATTTTTAATTTTGTTTGTGAAATTTTTTACTGTACACATTGTAAAAAGATGCATACTATGCACCACTATTTTCAATCATTGATTATAATCACATCATGCTTCATTTGGGGACTAAGCCCTCGTTTGGGAACAGGCTAATTTAGTAACTTTTTGGCTTTTTGGCTAAAAAGGTAGGTAAAAAAAACTTGTATGTTTGAGATGACTTTTTGACTAATTACGAAAAGATGTGCAAAAAGTAGAGAGAAAAGAGAATCTTTGACTTTTTGGTATGAGTTGTTGACTTTTTGGCTAATTTAGTAATTTTTTGGCTAATTGGCTAAAATAGCCTCTTGCCAAACGAGGCCTAGTATTTTAGTCAAAAAATCAAAAATTCACTATAAGTTATCAAATCATTCTCTTTATTTTTTTACATATCTTTTTTAAAAAGCTAAAAAAATTACTTAAATAGTCTGCACATCACAGTGGTGTGAGTTAAACTAATGACATTTTAAGTCATAACCAAATATCACTTTAATTGTAACCAAAATCACTATAATTGAGTTTGTAACTCACACCACTTTGTAATATAATTAAAATATTATAATGGATCATAATCAATTTTGATTCGACAATTGTTGGCCCTCCACTGCATTGACCTGTAATCAAATAGCACAATTATAGTCAGAACCAATACCAATTTAGATTATAACATGCATATACACTACACACTAAAAGGAAGATTTTGTATTGTAGCATAACTCTTTTTCTGTCCACCTCCAAATGCCCCATCTACTCTAATTTATTGTGTGCGTGTGTTATTTATTTATTTATTTTTAATTATTTTAAGTTAATGATCTGTTCTGCTTATTTTTGTATACCATGGGTTACTGAGGTATATCTTAAGAAAAGTGAGAAAAATGATTTGGATTTGTTAATTTTGTGCACGTCAGGTGTGATGACTGTGGATACAGATATGAATAACTCCCAAGTGACTGTGAAGGGAATGTTTGAACCGAATAAGCTGGTCGAGTACATCAACAAAAGGGCAGGCAAACATGCTGTGATTATGAAGCAAACACTGTCTGAGAAGAAGAAAGATGATGAAAACAAGGGTGGTAAAAAAGAGCAAAAAGAAAAAGATGGGGAGAAAATCGATCTGAAGGATTACTATCAGATTTATCCTCCCGGGTTAGTGTATGCTCCCCAGCTCTTCAGCGATGAGAATCCAAATGCTTGTTCAGTCATGTAGATAGAAAAAAAATTGGCTTACTGACAGGGGTGGAGGCAAAAATTCAGTGAAGAGGGAGTACAAATTAATTATAATATAAGTTTTTTTTTTTCATAATAAGCAACAATGAGATATTACTAAACGTAAATATTAAGAGTTTATTTGGACAGATGTGAATTTAAATTGAAGGATTTGAGGTTAAACTTTATATAAATATTGTGGAGGAACTATTTTAGGTGGATTGAAAAATTAAAAAAAAAGATACGTTAAGATAGAAATAATATATTTTAGTAGAGAAATTTTATAAAACACACTGCAAAAAAAAATGTCTATCATATGTCGCAGTTATGATCTTTGTGGTATTTAGTTATGACACGTTATAGTGTTGACTATAACTTAGTTACAACTTCTTATGGTATTGTTATTTTGGTAATGATTGAAGAGGTATTTGATTATACATCAAGTAATGATTCGTAATGACTCATTCTGATATTATGACTTATTGTAATTTTTTTTTTCTTTTTGTCATAATTGAAGATGTGTTGTTTGGTTATAATTTATATATGTTATTTTAGTTATGAATAAAAATAATCTGGCTATAAAAATTTATAATATCAATACCATAAAGTAATAACTAATATATGGTACGCCCCTTTTGGAGATATATAATAGAATGACTTATTTTAGTAACTTCATTGTAATTAAAAAAAAAATTATAATAGAGGGAGCATTTTAATTTGAAAAAAAGGATATTATTATAATTTTATATAAGATATATATGATATAATCTATATATATATATATATATAGGGGTACCAATATAACTATCAAAACTTGAGGAGGGACACGTGCCCTCTTTGGACATACACTGTCTCTGCCCCTGCCTACTGAATATGAGGCTAGGCCTCGTTTGGGAACAGGTTTTTTTAGTAATTTTTTGATTTTTTGATTAAAATATGATGTAAAAAAAATTAGTATGTTTGGGATGACTTTTTGACTTTTTACGAAAAGCTGTGCAAAAAAGTAGAGAAAAAAGAGAATCTTTGATTTTTTGGTACAGATTATTGATTTTTTAGCTTTTTTTAGCTTTTTTTAATAACTTTTTGACTTTTTAACTAAACCGATCACTTCTCAAACGAGGCCTAAAGTTCTAGAATTGAAAATTATCATTATATATATATATATATATATATTTTTTGTTTCTTATTTTGAATTGTGTCACTTTGATTCAATTTTGGAGTTTTTGTTTGTCTATACAAGCTTGTACATATTTGAATCGTGAATGTTTTTAAGCTTAAATGAGATTGAACATTTACAATTGGCAACCTATGTTACATGGACTCGGGTACGGGTGTCGGATGCGGGTATGTATCTAGAGGTCGGACTCATCAAATCATAAATTTAAGGATACGCGGACTCGGCAAAAAAAGGTCATATTTTTATATTTTTAATCTAATATGTGAGATAAAATGGTATTATATTTAACTTATAGTGTCAAAATGACATTTATAGCAATTATATAACAATATATACATATAATAATAGTGTTATATACAATTATATAAGAAGTATCCGTTGAAAAGTATCCGACACATATCCCATACCCTTGTCCGAGTGTCGGGTGTCCAACACGGGTATTTGATTTAATTTGAAGAGTCCATGTAACATAGTTGGCAACAATACTTTAAAATTTTGACTGTCATTTGTCCTACAAGTTCTATTTGTAATTTTTTTTTTTGGCTTTATCACTGAATGCTTTTCACGTGAAGTTCAACAAGTTGAGTTTAAATGTATGTAAATAGTCTCTCTACCTTGAAAAACTATAGTCAAGTTTTCAAGTCTCAAATTACCCCTATCTTGTTCCTTTAGAAATTTGCTTCAAACCAACAAATTTTAGTTCAATACTTGACTAAATTTAACATTACAATATATAGTATTAAAAAATTTCAAAATAAATTGGATTTGTTGGAGTTGAGTGGGTCCAAATTCTACCCTATTTAATCAAGTTTGTCCCTTAGTTTATCTAAATAAAAAAAATATATTTTTTATTTATACAAAAATCAATCACAAAACTTGACAATCGTCTTACTTTGGACTCACAAAAAATGAGATTTATCTCATATGAAAGATCTGCATAGACTTTAGACTTATGTTCTAATTGATTTGTGATCTTAATTTTATTTATTTATTTATTTTTAAATGCAAAAATAACATCAATGGGGGAGTTAAGGAAAGTATTTGGGACCATACATAGAGTTGATGGGGCCCATGAATCTTATACCACATTCCAAGTTGAAATCAAGAATTGCATACGAAATGGCCGGCCATCTAAAAGGGCCTTTAAATTGGCCTATTGCGGCTGCAGTTGGGTTAGCACGTTTTTGAAATCCATTGATCTAATCGTCCAAGATTTTGTGATCACAATTATCCGCAACACACTTTTTTTTTTTTTTTCACTTTCAATTATAATTAATTAATACTCTTTCTCTCCATTTTCAATCTCATTAATTTTATCAAAACATGTTCATATGTTTTCCTCAAACCAATCATAGAAAATAATTTTAGAAGAGAGCCAAACACCTAATTTTGAGTGAATTAAATTTTAAATTAAATGTCACAATAAAAAATAAAAAATAAAAAAGAGTTTGATATAAAGGTAAATTTTTTCTTCATTTACATATGTGTTTTAGAGGAAAAAAATTAAGTCCGGTACTTTGCAATGAATTGGAAAAATTATTCTATACCAAAGGATATGGTCACATAGTATTTGAATTCGAATGTAATTGGTGAACAAAATGAGACCAACAAATTTGTGTTGATAATTGAAAAGATTGTAAGTGATAATAACAATGATTAATTTAATATATGAATCATATAATGCTGTTGGCTTTTTGGCTTTCGAAGGTGATTATTGTAATTATGAGTGTGCCAGCAAGGATCAATCAGTCTTTACAGAAAATTAATTGCCAACCAGTTATCAAACGATTGTGTTTTAGTTCTTTCAGCCTCAATGAAGAGGACTTTTACTAGAGGCTTGATTTAGGAGAATTAAGCAGATGACAATCAAATGAAGAGCAATTAAAGCATTTTATTAAAATGAAAACTTACAATGATCCAATTCAGCCTCGTAGAGGTTTACAGCAACAATCTACTTGAAACTACTCTTATGAACGAAGTGCAGTGCAGGAATTAAAGTACAGAAATGTACAGAACATGAAATGTAAAAACTGGAATGAAAATGAAGTAGAATAAAACTGATTTTTTTGGATCTGAGTCTGGGATTTTTTCTGGGGCCTTCTCATCTATTTATACTTCTCAAGGATGACCATCGAACTGCACTTTCAACCGTCGAATTACTCCTCCATGATTGCTGATCATGTTGCCTTATAATTAGCTCCACTATGCCATCACTTACAGTTAGGCTTCCCTCCTAATTTTGAATTCAAGTGTGAGTAACCGTTGAAGCCACATCACTTTGCATTTTTTTGTTGATTCAGTACTACGCAGATCTTATGCAAACCAATATTAACTGTCACGTGTATGATCACGATCGAAGATTTGAGTTGTCTTCCCGTTTTACCCTCAATCTGCCACGCGTTGAATTGTAATTGGCTTATACAAAATATGTAGCCAACATTAGCCCCCGCACTAATATACCCAATACTTGGTGATATTAGTGAATCGAGGTCTTTCATCCACGTTTTAGAATGTGCATGGGCTTTATATTTTTAGAAACACAACCGTCATTCATTGATGAGCATTTGCATTAACTCCCCTTTGATCCCTTAAACATGCCCACTATCTCAGTATTCGAAAAGTCTAATTCAATGGAGAAACAGACATTTTCTTATCTCGATCAAGCACATGAAGAGTTGTTTGAATAAACCGTTCGTCCTCGAAAGAATCTTCATGAATTGATTAGCCACCTTTACCCACCTTCATATATTCAAGTCATAGAAGCTTTCGCAAATTATCAACCTTTGGATTATGAACATACTGTCCATAATCCCTTGATTCAGAAATTTGCACATATGGACATGTAAAGCTCTTCTTCTAATTCACAATCTTCTACATGGGACGAGGCCGTGGCTTCTTCTTCTTCTAGAGCTTCTGGTTGGAGAAGCTGGTCGGAGCCTGAGGCGTGTGAATTGAGGGAGCGAGTTAATCACCACTTTGTCGAGTTCACTGATCCTTTAGAGTTCCCTTCCTATGCGCGAAGCTCAGTGGTCTATCCTTACGTTCCCATCGATCGTTGCCGTAGTTTAGAGAACAATCTACTTGTAGCATGGTACACATCATTCATGCCTACAAAGATAGTACGAGCTACTCTTCGCCCAGAAGAAGCACAGGGGTATAACCCATCATTTTTAGCCAAGATAGCGAAGCTTCATCCTTCTGACTGGCTTGATTGTGTTAATGTCCCTCAGTTCCCTCCTTCCTTCGAAATGGAAGTCTCTATACCTCCTCCTCCGCAAAAACTTTCCTGGATAGAGAGATTGAATCTTGCCCTCTCTGCGGAGAAAGTTTTATCTCCTTACAAGCCTTCACCTCCTCCTACTCCAGCTCAACAAAAGCAAGGCCAACTTCTGCTTGCGGCCTTTTTTCACTTGCTTTTCAATGTTCTTGAGGATGATGTTCCTCTCAAGAACCTTCGATGGACTTGTGATATTCTGACTCGGGGTCATATCCTCAACCCCATCGCTCAAGCAGAACTCCACATGTTTTTGGACCAACTCGCATTGCTTCTTCATTGGCACCGGACTTCTTTGGCCACTACCCAATCTTTGGACCAGCTTTCATCCCTCCGAGTTCATACTCAGTACGAAGCAGAGAACCTCGTCAAGGAATACAACGATTTCAAGAATAAAGACTCTGCGTACTAGGATGACAAGGACTAAAAGAGATAGCGTTCAAAATAAAAGCTGAAGAGCTCTTTTATCAAATGAGAGTGCATTAACTCCAGCAACCAAGCTTGGAACAAATAGAGGATAGAATAAAAAAAGAACAAAAATTTATTGACCATAGCTGGACTAAATTCCATGATCTCGTTATTTATTTTATGAACTGGAATTTGTACCTAAAGAGGAACTTTTAATGTAATTGCTTTTGTTTTAATACATATAAGTCTTTTCTCTTTGTTTGGTATGGTTCGAATTTATCTCTGTTTGCCTTCATAAGCAAATTTAGTTCTT